CTCTGAGGTTAGCAGCCCGATCCGTAACCACTATGCTACCAGATAGTATAAGATAAGTAATTAAGTTAATTATTTTTAAAACTTATTTCAAAATTATGTTTTTAAAAAACTGCTTAATGTATTCTTAATGAGCAATCATTTTTAAAAATATTTTTTTAAGTTACTATGAGAGAAGTTTATTTTATTGACCAGGCCAATATAGAGTGTTGACTTCTGGTGCTACATTTTATGTGGCTTGTTATGTAATGGATTGAGCCTTTTTGAACCCACATCCATGTTGTTGTTGTTGCTGTTGTTGTTGTTAAGTGCCGTCAAGTCGGTTCCAACCCATAGGGCCCTGAAGAGGGTTTCCGAGGCTGTAAATCTTTACGGAGTAGAAAGCCTCATCTTTCTCTTGCAGAGCAACTGGTAGTTTCGAACTGCTGACCTTGCAGTTCGCAGCCTGATTTGTAACCACTACACTACCAGAGCTCCTTCACATCTATATATATTCCCTACAATTTTTCTAGACCCTCTATTCATTACACTCCCTTCTATAAAAATATTATTCTACAGTTTATTCTTTTAAAGAGAAGTGTATTCTGCACTGTCTTTTCTTTCTTTATCTGTAAATTTATATTTTTTAACAAAAGTCATACATGATACATGTGTGTATGTATAATATATATTTCTCCTCTCCAGGTTTACTTCTCAAAGGTTTTTTCAAGTGGAACCAACCATAATTTAATTCCTGGTTTGCACTTTGGTCTTTTCACTTAAGAATGTATTTACTTTTTCAGAAGACTATCAGTGAAGTACATAGACACTCCTAAACCCACTGCCATCGAGTAGAACTAACTGCCCTATGCGATTTGCAAAGTTGTAAATCTTTAGAGAAGTAGACTGCCAGATCTTTTTCCTGTGGGGGGGCTGGTGGGTTTGAACTGCCAACCTTTTAGTTAGCAGTTGAGCACTTTCTTTGCTACCAGAACTGCCTTCCTAGGTGAAATGCAGTTGACATGCATGGCTTTACATTAGGAGTATCTTAGACATATACTTCAGAAACATTTCAATGACTGGCATAGTATTGGTATTCATTGTGTTTTAATATAATTGACCTTTATCAGTTATCAGCTATCCATGAGTTTTAAGTAAACCTAGAGTCCTGGTGTGGTGCTACAAGTTAATGCGCTAGACTGCAAAGTCTGTTTGAACCACAAGGTCATTGGTTCAACCTCACCAGCCCCTTCTTGTAAACCCTATACAGGGTTACTATGAGTCAGCACTGACTCAACAGCTCTTAACATCAACAACAATTTTCCACAGAATAATACTTTAATACTCAATAACAAATAGTTATAAAGCACATTCTAGGTACTTTAAAATTAGACTTTGAATAAAACAAATGTTCTTGCTCTCATGGAATGTACATTTTAGCTCATTTATTTTAGGTAACAAATTTTTGATAAAGTTAGCTGTTTATGCTACCTGCATGTAAGTTGT